AACAGTCGTAATTGACATTTTCCCTCGCTCCCTTCAGCAATGATATATCAAAGAGTGCATCAGCCGCCGGAGGAGGAGAGAAAACATTAGGAGGATTAATAAAGGGGGGGAGGAAAATAGATTGAGCGTTCACCAAGACCAGTAAAATAGGATCTGTCAAGCAACCCTGCAACATCCATCCTGTGGAAAAAAAAGACAGAGGTACATTTTCATGGATGGAAGGAAGGAAAAACAGAGGACAGCCCGTGCAGCTGATCAATTTCCCAAGATTAGCTTTCAGCGGCTGTGCCTGCTTCCATTTGTAAAGATAATATTATTTAATAACCCTTTTGGGTGACTGTTTAAATTATCATACTGCCTACAGTGCAAGGCGCTAATGGAAATATTTAACATAAATTCCCTTTAAAAAATGACGCCTTAAACAACAGTTGTAAGAATTATTCTGAAATTAAAGGAGTGTGCATAAATGATTCTCCCTGGCCTTGACGTGCTGTTCTCAATTACATTCTGCTCAACTGGAACAATGGAACGATGCTAGCATGGCGCTTTATCGTGCATATATATGCACTGTTACGAATGTCATATGGAAGCTATTTATGGCCACGAGCATCAGTGCCAAGGGCATACAAAACAGGGATGTTATTGAATAAATTCAGAATGTGCAAAGGAGCAGTGCAACGATAGATCAGGTAGAGCCCAGCCTTTGCGAGGTTCCACCTGAAAAATGATCGCTTGGCTTTTGTTGTGCGCCTTCAAAGACAGACATCTGAAAATCCGAAATGAAGAGACAAAACTATAAGCATTTCTTGGTCTTATTCACCTTCAACTTCTTTTTAATGATCTCATTTCAAAACACCTTCCTGCGGACCTCCCCTTTCCTGTCTGGCTAACGCCAAATTGCATAATGCCAACTGAACGCTCGCATTTGTTCTCCCTTTCCCTTCTCAGGAAATCTATTTAAATTTTCACGCCAACTGTCAGTCCGTATCAGACCTTGATTTATGCAAAAACAACGTCTGCTTTAATTAGTCATTTCGCCTCACTGCTGTCTGTGCTCTAGGCGTCAAGCGGGGTCAGACATTCGGAGGAACCTCCTTTTTGTATGACCAAAACTAGGCCATCAGCAACACTGTGATAATAGCCACGTCTCAACACCCCAGTAACATGCGAGAGTGTGTGTTCGAGTGTGTTTTATCCCCCATGAGCCATCCATCTCCACTCAGCAGGGTGGATTTGGGTGGAGCACGGATAATCACAGCAGTCACTATACACCTGGAGGACTGGAAAACAATAAACAACTAACAGGTATTTTTTCCTGTCAGCTCTCTATACTTCCCCAGGCACTTGAGAGAGAGAGAAAAAAGGAAAAGGAGGAATGTTTACACCGCAATATTACATTAATCAAGAGAACATTAGCGAGAATGCACCACATTATGTACTTGTACGGTTTTAGTGTCCGTGATCTTCAAAATGAAAGTAAACTGCACCATGTGTTTTTGCTCGTTTTGGATTGCGACACGTCTTGATTATCCCAATTGCAATCACATAGAGCAAACAAAAGTGGCTGAAACCTCGTGCTAATTTCACAGACTGACATTTCAGATGGAAAATTAACCAAACAGATGCTCAGAAGAGAGCGACTCTCTTGTCAGATGTTGGGGAAGTGCGTGTGAGTAACGACAATCACATGAATGGGAGGGCAGACAAACACATTCTCACAACCAATTCTATTTTGGGGTCTGTGCACTGCTTTGCTGACTGAAGTGACATTGTGTCCTTTGTGAAAGCATGGCCCTCTGAGGTGCGTTCATGTGCTGTGAACCTCGGCCAGGGGAAAAAAGCAAGAGGCTGGAGACCAGTGGAAGGCGTGGGAAAGCGACTAGAGAACCAGTGAACAGAGGCCTGTGGAAAAGCCGAGCGGTCTGCAGGCATTCCTTTGTGATTACACATCTGTGGAGAAAGAGGCCAGACATTCTTTCAGCCATGTCTGAAGCTGCTGACTTCTACCCTTGATCCTGCACTATTTTTTCTTATCTGTAAAAAAAGAAACTCAGCTGTGAGCATTTTATTTGGTGACTGCAGACTGTGTTTCCTAATACAGAAGCATGATGTGGCCTGAATCAGCCCCTTTCAACTTTTGCACTTGTATTTAAAGGGGTCATATGATGCGATTTCAAGTTTTCCTTTCTCTTTGGAGTGTTACAAGCTCTTGGTGCATAAAGAAGATCTGTAAAGTTGCAAAGACTAAAGTCTCAAATCCAAAGAGATATTCTTCATAAAAGTTAAGAGTCAACCACGCCTACCTAAAA